CAAATAGTTAGATATTTCTAACCTATTATTTATTTAAAAATAACTTCAACCTCAGAATACATTCATTTTAAAACCTAGTTCCAAAACCAAATTTTAATTACCTAAAAAACTAGTAATTAGGGCAATTACCTATCTCATAAAAATATAGATGGTTTAAATAATATAATATAATATAATTATTATAATATATATATATATATATTTAAAAAAAAATAAGAATTAAATAATTCCTAATAATAATAAAATAAAAAATAATTTTATATCGAATTGTCAGAGATTACCAATATTATTCCCGTTATTGTTATTATTGCTATTGTTATTCTGTAAATTAGTTTGAATAAATAATCGAGCGAATCGTTACATACACTGGTGTAATCCACCGGTATATCTCAAAATTATATTTTCATTTTCATTTGATTGTAATTCAATGATGTTTTTTCCTGCCGATTTTCGGTGGAAAATACGTGTCAGATTTTGGACAAAGTCGTTATCCATACCATTCTGCAACTGTGCTGGGATCCATTTCATTTTGCACTCTTGGGCTTTGCCATGACATCTTTGAAATGGCCCTGGCATGCCCTGGCCGCTTTGACGGGGTGTCTTTCAGGACATCCCAGACTTTGCTGAATGGGATGAATACCTTTCTAGCTAGCAGCTGTACACCATTCTTTTGCTGTTGGAATCTGCATGTCGTGCCAGCGGGTGTAGCCTGCCGATGAACGATCCGACAAATTGGTCGCCGAAGAGGAGAGGTGCCCCCTGGGGCAACCATTACAATCATACACAAAAGCAACCCTGATTTATCCAGTTAAAACGATCATCCCATATTGCAATATCTACAGATGCGTATGTCATCAAGCTGTTTCTTAAGGTGTTGGTTTCTTTACTAAAAGGAACCCCTCAAGAAGGAAAGCTTCGAAAATAGCAGCGTTAAAGTCTCCCCAAAACCCCGCAAAATTCTATGCCTGGATCCCACCACCAAATCATCTTGGGATTTTTGGGTTATATGCGGTGCGAAAATCTAAGACCCAGCTACAAGTGTTGGAAACAGGACCAGTCCTTGAATATCTACAATACTGGGGCCCCCTTAAAGGCCACGAAATCGCGATTGGTTGGTGAATAACTCCAAAAATCACGACCTAGTTACAACTCCAATTTCACCTTGGTTACAACATCTTATAACAAACTAGTTACAACTCCAATTTCACCTTGGTTTATGGTACTTATACTAGTTACTATAGCTCTTGGGGCGAAGCAGTTGGCCCAGTTCTGCCTCGCCATGCGTCGCGCTCCGAAGGTGAACTTGGGTCCAGGGAGGTGCGCCGCCTGGTGGCGAACTACCCACGTTCATCGTGGGCTCGTGGTTGTCGGTTATAACCCCAGTGATTGACATGGGATAAGTAGGGTTAATCCACTCAGAAAACTGGGGTGAACTAAGCCACTTAAGTGGCTTAGTGAACTACCCAGTGATTGACATGGGATTTTTGGAGCGGGTGAATCGGTGAATCCACTCAAAAAACTGGGGTGAACTAACCCACAACCACGAGCCGTGGGATGAGCCACCAAGTGACGGATAATGTCAGGTACTTCTATGGAAAAAAAGAAAACAATATCAGTGCTGTGGTGAAATACATTGAAATACCATGGAATTCAAGGTGAGTTGTGATATCCATTTTAGTGTGAAATATGTCCATTGGAGCCATTTTGTGGTGATTAAAAAACACGCATTCTCTGATCATATTGAGCACCCGAACAATTCCAATACTAAACGATGGTTTGTAGGGCTGTATTTAATAGGGGAACATTTCCCAACCAACCGTTTTATAGGGATATTTCATGGGATACCTTTCACCGAAAAAAATATTTTGGGTTACTTTTAGGATACGATATGTTTTTTTTGTTTGTCTCCAACATAGCAGAAAATGGGCCCCCAATTGATGGTGACTTGACCATGGGAAAAATGCGGGTTTCAAACATTGAGACAAAGCTTTTTTGGGGACGATATGGACCAATCGAAGCGTAGGGACGGGAGGATTTGAATCGAAGCTGGAGATGAATCCAAAGTGATCCAAGATTCAAACCCGTAGCATGTTGGAAACAGCAAGGCAGCACCCAGCGTATCCTTTCCTCTAGGACGTGGACAATTTTCCGGCCATGATCCAGCATCAATATCTCAAAAGGACACAAATTCATACTGGTTGGTGGTATACCTACCTGTCTGAAAAATATGAAAGTCATTGAAAGTCAAATGGGATATTGTTTCCAACATATGGAAAGTCATGAAAAATGATCCAAACCACCAACCAGATGACCATCAATGACCAACATTTCCACACCACCTTAATATAGAATATTCAGAATAGCCATCAATAATAGCCATCATGAAAAAATGTGTCCATCAATATCCAGCATGTGATAAGAATTTGTTTGTCGTTTTTTGATGGCAGAATGGAGCCCGATTTTCGACACAGAACTGAACCAAATCGCTGCCACACTGGGAAACTCTCTCCACCTGCTCGTAATAGCCGGGACCAGGAGCTCGTTCCTTTGGTCTTGCCCTGGCGCTGGATGAGGAAACTTAAGCCTTTTTTTTTTCGCTGAGCAAGTTAAGGAAGTCAAGGAAATTGAGGAAATCCAATCTGTTTTTCAAGAAAATCTAAACAGTTTTGGGGGAATAATAAAAAAAATGGGACAAACAAATAACGTTTTTGGTAGTTTTCACTGATTCAACACTCTCGCTTTCGGGATTTTGCGAGCCATCGATATCGTCACCGAAAAAAAGTGGAACAAGAAATTGATCGGTCTCCCTTCTTGGCATAAAACAGCAATCTGACAAACCCATAGGATCCATGTATGCTATATATGGTAACATTTACCATCAATATACCCCCAATGTTAGCATATACCATACATGGATCCTATGGGAAAGATAATATGAACGGATGACCTCGGCCATATGATTTTAAATTTGGGCCACCCATGGTCCATAGTGTTCCGCTGAAAAACTGCAGAGCAGTTTTTGACACACCACCAAACACGGGTCATATGTTAGTACACCCTCATATCCATGGGTGTGTGCAATGCCAAGCTGTCTCTGGTTTGTTGTACATGCTCTAGTTCCTTTCTGCGGAACATGTTCCTGACCGTCTAGACAGTTAAACTCGAGTCAACCGAGATTGGAAAATCCACGGGAAGATGAAAATTGTGAGTTTTTCCCTTTGCTAATTTACTGCCAAAGAAATTCGAGTTTCCGTGGCACCTACGTTGGTTGGGGGTGATTCCACAACAGTGAGGGCACAGCAGGCTATCCAAACTCCACCTCGCAGGACTTCTACCAAAGCTCCTTCGCGCTGAGCAGGCGGTGACCGATATGAATGGATTAAATCCGCCCACCTTCCGTGTCTGATTGGAAAGTGTTGTTGCTGTTTCTGTTTTTGGTTTGTGTATGTTTCTTGGTTCTCTTGCCACGCGTGCTTGAATGTTGCATTGCTCATCCTTTAGCATCATGATCGTGATCACCATCATCACCACCACCACCAATCCCATCATCATCACCACCCCCTTCACCATCATCATCATCATCATCATCATCCTCATCATCACCACCACCACCACCACCATCATCATCATCATCCTCATCAGCACCACCACCACCATCATCATCATCATCGTCATCATCATCCTCATCCTCATCCTCATCCTCCTCCCTCTCTTTCTCTTGCAGCGTTGTCCTCCGCTTCTTCCTCTTCCTTCAGTTTTGTCCCATCCCCGTCTTGCTCCGTGTAGGCCACGACTTTCACCAGATCTCCGCCTTGCTAGTCAAACATGAGAATCAAAAATGTTGAACAACCCGATGGCTTTATTTTTTGTGCCATTTCCTTACGTATTTTAACATCTTCAAATTCCAAGTCTGGATGTTTCATGTTTGATAATTAGTTCCTGTGAAAAAAAAAAAAGTATTTTCAAAAAGTAGTAAAACCCAAGGAATAAATTTAAAAGCAAACAATGCAAAAGTCTTGTTACAGTATGTTGGTCCCAGCCCTGCACGTTGCTTGGACACATAGGCCATAAAATTCCCTCACACAGGGAGGAGGGGGGTCCTTTTGAGTGATTTTTGGCGAATGCGTTGTATCCGCAGAGTTTTTTGGGTCCAATTCCTAGTCATGATGCTTGAACCTGTCTTCTGTGTTTTTCCAAATTTCACATTGTCGTACGGACGTTGCTGGTCGCCCTTTTCAAAAGACGAGTTTTCCAACCCCCCCAAACCACCAGCCCAAGCCACCACATAAGCATGACCTCAACGCATTGGTTCGTCAATCTACCAGTTTTCAGATGGGGTCCCTTCTCAATTCACCAGCTCTGCCACGATTTCTTTGGTCAACTGGCTGGTTTCGGGATCCCCTGCGATTTTGTGAGTGCCACATAGTGCCACTGTTTTTCACGGCTTAACCGCCAGGTTGGAGTGAGCCACTAACGATACCCCCCGTTCCCATCCCAGTTGGTTAGTGGTTATCCCTACTGGCAAGAATAATCCCCAATATCAACCATCATTTCTCAATCATATCCCCATCACCATGTTTCATAAATGTGCAATTTTCCACGGCTGTGTTGAATTACACGAGGGTAAGTCTCATTCAAATCCCTTCACACAATCCAACAGACTTATACCCTCTGGTTCTCCAACAGTTTGCCATGGAAGCCATGGCCCATAGAAATAGATGATAAAAATATATAAAAATGATGGTTTACCTGAGTTTATTTATTAAAAACGGTGATGTGTCCAATATGTTCCATAACTCCGGTAGTTTAACATAGCTCTAGAACATCTTCCATGTTTTTCAATGATCAAAATGCTGCTTTACCTAAGTTCACCCATTAAAAATGGATAAAATGGTGATTTTCATGGGATTTTGCAGGATTTTCCGTAGCTCACCGTCCTATCCACTTCCATCCCCGCTCCATGAGGGCGGCCGCTTGCGGGGCTCGTCGTAGGTGCCCGTGGCCGGAGGGCCCACGGATTTCAACTTGCCAAGCCACGCGGCCTGGCCGCTGGATACCCCTCTGGTAATGACTAGCCATAGGAAAACCATAGGAAAACCATAGAAATCCTAGGAAAACATAGGAAAACCATAGGAAAGCCATAGGAAAACCAAAGGAAAATGGAGGTTTACTCTGGTAATGACTAACACTCGAAGCCATGGCCATAGAAATAGTTGATTTACCCATTGATAGCATGGTGGATCTTTCCATAGCGAACTGTTGGTTTACCAAAGGATAACCGATGTTGGTTTTCCCGTGAAAACTGGGGAAGTGAGCACCTTTGACCCGCTATTTTCATATGAAATGCTATTGGGCAACAGAGTTTTGACCCATACCCACTGGCAAAATGGCAAGTGTTTTTTCGTGCGACTAACATGTTTGGACCGCAAGATCCATTCAAGTTGATGAATTTGCTTCTTGAAGGACGGTGAATGTTGTTCGCCCAACCTCAAGAGAGAATTGGCCAACTGGTCATCGACTATTGTAGGTCCACTGAGAATCACTGGGAATCTACTCAATGATGTACAAATGCAGCGTACAACATTGGGAGATGACTTCTTTTGTATCATGCTAACAACGGTAAATGTATAGCAAACAACAATATTGTTGTTTTTTCAACAGCACTTGGTGCATGTATGCAAAATAGAGAGATACAAATACAAAAACTCACCTAAAAGCTGACAATCAGTTTTTAATCACGTGTTTTTTTTCATCAATTCACGTTAGTTCAACGATTTTTCTCATTTCAAGCTGGTTTGTGGTATACCTACCCCTCTGAAAAATGATGGAGTTCGTCAGTTGGGATGATGAAATTTTCCAATATATATATATATATATATATATGGAGAGTCATAATCCAGCCATGTTCCAGTCAGCACCAACCAGATTGTTATTAACCATTATTACCATCATTAACCATCATTACCCCATACTAAACCAATGTTCCAAAGCACCAACCAGATATAACTATGATAGATAACTATAGATGTAGAAAAACTATAGAATACTATGGATAACTATTGTTGATTACATATATATATATATATATTCATATACATATTCCCATTGTTGTTGGTTTATAGCCTATTAACCACTATTAATTATATGGAAAGCCATGTTCCAAAGCACCAACCAGTTCCAACTCGCCCAGGTTGACCTCAGGTCGTCGGCAGAAATTGAAGGCTCCGCCATGCCTGGCAAGCGTGCAATGGGGAATGGGGATACAACGGGGACATAGTGGGACATATTATATATATATAGTATATATATACGTGTATATATATACACTATATATATAATATGTATATATATAATATGTATATATAATATGTGTATATATATATATAATCAAGATCATACCTGGGTTTGACCAGAAATGCGGAATAGCTTTCCATTTCGTGATGATTCCAAAAAAAGGTCGAGGTTTTCAACTGGGATTTGAAGGGCGCCCTATTTTTAGAAGCGGGTCACTGCTAAGTGTCGGCCGCGCAAAGTGGCACTTGGAGAGGTCAACGATGGATCTTCGATGCAAAATTTTGCATAATGTCAACCCCAGATGAATGGCAACCAGTGCTTTTTACGCTTGTGAATGGAGGGTACATCCCAGATAGTGATAATTTTTTTGTGGGGGCTTGCACCCCGTCACCAATTGTACAGCCCAGGAGGTTGACATTACAAGTAATTCCACCTTCAGATGTGAAGTCCTGCGGGTTCTGGGAATCAGGAGGAAGGACCAAGGTCAGGATCATGAATGACACCTTTTGGTTCCTAGGGGAATTAGCGTTTGTTTATATTTCCCGTACCTCAAACAGATTTACTTGGATGAAACAAACGATGCCTGCTGTCCCTTGATTAAACCTAGTTGCCCCCTTCACTCGCAGGGCGAAGCCCGTCCAATTTTCTACTCCCGAACCCAATGACACACATTTGTGACAGCCCTTATAAGATGAAGCGGCCATGCCTGGCCGTTGGCATTTTGGAGCTCGCCTAGGTACCAAGACTAGAATATGGAAATCCCAGATCATCTGTCGGGTATGTTTACCTCACCCTGAACATCACCTAAGAGTGGATCAACTGATAAAGATTTTCCCCACCCCAACGCTACTAAAGGAAAACGGAAACTGTGAAGCTGCAAACACATGGAAAACACGCCAAGAATGAAGCAAGAAGAATGAAAATCCGCCCACACCGCTTTGGCGGTGAAGGCGTGCTTATTGGGGGGCAACAGCAACACTAGATGCTCAATGACATTTGTTAATATAGCAGTCGCTATATCAGCTTTAGCTGGGGGGGGGGGCCCAAAAACGGTTTCGCACCGAGACCAGAATACGGTGGTGTTTTCGACATTTTTCGAGGATTTTTGGGTGTCTGAGCGCAAGAGGGTATTGAAATGGAATTTTGGGTCATTTTGGTAGCTTTCCGGCAATGGAAAAACGGCCAAAAATGAAAAAAACATTGTACATAGCAAGATTTTGCAGGGTTTTTGGATGCCAGAGCATTGAAAACACTGCAAAAACAAGTGTTTTGGACTGACGTTATAGCAAAAAACGTGTAAATTACCGTATGCTTGACTGGAAACATTACAAAAACACTGTCAAAAGCGATGTTTTGGAAGGATTTACTGCCTTTATGGCAAAAAACGTGTAAATTACCGTCTGTTTGACTGGAAACATTGGAAAAACACTGTCAAAAACAATATTTTGGAAAGATTTCTTATATATATGTTGGAGTTGGCTACCGGCATTGGCACATGGAAAAATTGAAGAAAACACTGTAAATAGCGGTATTTTCAACGGTTGGGGAGATAAGGGAATTGGAAGCATTGTCGAACATGATGTTTTCGACCGGTTTTATGGCGACAAAAGTGTAAAGTACCGTGCTTTGAAGGAAACCATTGCAAAAACATGGAAACACATTCAAAGAACACGGGATTTGGGGGACTATCTAGGCGTCGTTGTCTAGCTATTTGAAATTCCGCAGCTTGGAGAGCCTCCAAGGGAGGGAAAAGTGAAAATTCCATAGCTTGGGAAGCTGTCACGGCGGGGAAAAGTGAAAATTCCCTAGCTTGGGAAGCCCCCACGGGGGGGAAAAGTGAAAATTCCCTAGCTTGGGGAGCCCCCACGGGGGGGAAAAGTGAAAATTCCCTGGCTTGGGGAGCCCCCACGGGGGGGAAAAGTGAAAATTCCCTAGCTTGGGGAGCCCCCACGGGGGGGAAAAGTGAAAATTCCCTAGCTTGGGGAGCCCCCACGGGGGGGAAAAGTGAAAATTCCCTAGCTTGGGGAGCCCCCACGGGGGGGGAAAGTGAAAATTCTTAGCTTGGGGAGCCCCCACGGGGGAAAACCACCCTTAGCCCCTCTCACGGACCGAAATAAACCTGCGGTGTGGGCGGCCACCCCACGCGAAGCGGGGTGAATACATAAAAATACTAAGGAAACATCAAGAAGCAGAAATGCAAAAAAAGAGAGACGAAGCATGCCCAAACAGTTTCCCCCTGCTTTTTTTTAACGGTTCATGACTCTCCGGACACCAAACATTGAATTCCGACCGATTTATTGCAACCCATATGGGGGGATGGATCAAAGCCACTACATATCACGCCATGTTTTGGATCCCTTTGACCGTCCTGCCGCAACACAAATCAGCTCCTACTTGGGGGGGTGCATCCCAGTTGGTGACTAACAACCATAATCTATAAATATCATCGATACAGAAGCCATTTTTTCCATGACCCAAGGGCCCCTAAGCCATAAACAGAGGGCAATTCTGTGAACGCCTCACATCCATTCGCCAAGGGACGCCGAAGGTGGACCTAACATTGTAGGCCCCGGGGCCCGGTCCCTCTGTGAAGAATTCCACCATGGACTGTGCAGCATCCGGGGGCACGCGGGGTAGTGTTGGAGTAGTTCGGGTGTGGAAATGGAAATGGTATACCCCCAAAATTGCTATTTCATGGAGAAATGATGATGAAAAAAAGTAGTTTTATATATTTTTGAAAAGATCCTACTTTTAGCCAAACCCACATGACATGATATATCCAGATCATTGTAAGTTTCGACTCCATTTTAAATGTTGATGGATTGATATTTGTACTGAAATCATCAAAAATCATGATCCAAATGCACAGACCTGGGTTTGACAGCGTTAGGATGTCTTGGGTGGTGAGTTATTAAATCGTCACACCTATGGTATGCCAATGGCAAATCAGACTATGCATTTCCGTCAACCATGAGGAATGAACGGAAATGGATACAGGCACGCAATATATATATATATATTATTATATTGTATGTATATATATATATACACACATATTGGTATATACACACATATAGGATAGAATATATCATATTAATTATACTAGTGTATACTAGCGTATAGTCAATATGTAGTATGTACTATATAGATGGAGGTGTCCAATCCAGGGGGTACCCCAATAAGCTGGTACCCTCGTGGATTGGAAACCTCCATGTTAATTGAAATGGAAAAAAACATTGAACCAAAGTCATATAGTCAATATGTAGTTTGTATGTATATATATATATATATTCTGGCTGGTGGTAATCCTACCCCTCTGAAAAATATGAGTTCGGGATGATTATTCCCAATACATGGAAAGACATAAATTTCCATGGTTCCAAACCACCAACCAGATATAACTATGATAGATAACTATAGATTAGAATACTATGGATAACTATTATTAATTACATATATATATATTCATATTCCCATTGTTGTTGGTTTATAGGCTATTAACCACTATTAACCATCACTATTAACCATCACTATTAACCACTATTATTAGTATAGATACATCCCATCCCACAACGCCCTGGCTTGGCACCTCTGGCGCCGAGGACGTGGTCCCCATGGTCCCCATGGTCCCCGTGGGCAGCGTCAGCGTCCGGCTCTTCGTGGAGAGCCGCGACATCCGAGAAGCGCTTCGCTCGTAGTCCCGCCACACGGGCGTGTCCACCTCCCAGGGCCCGGAGATACGATTTCTATGGGATTTACCCTCTGGTTATGTCAAAATGGCTATTGAAAATGGCCATAGACATAGTGAATTTTCCCATAAAACATGGTGATTTTCCATAGTTATGTGGCAGTTTACCAGAGGCTACTGGAGAATCTTAGGGATGTTCATTGGTTGACATGGGTTTTCATGGGTTTTCATGGATGGTTGATTTCTATGGTTGATTTACTGATGGGGAAATCGAGAATCTCTGCGGGATTTCCCATGGCTTTTGTTGGGACTTGGGATGGTTTACTGATGGGGAAATCTCAGGGGATTTCATTGGGATTTGGATGCAATCTTGAATACCGAAGTAGGGCTTAATAAGGCTGAATACTCGAATAAGTAGACATGTGGGAAAGAAATGTAACTAAAATTGGATTAAATGTAACTAAAATTTAGGATTAAGTTTGGGTATGTAACTAAAATTGGTAGTAACCCAATGGTTTTTTTACTACTAAAATACCAAATTGGGTATCCAACTTGCAAGTTGGTAGTAAGTAAAATTGGGATTTAAGGAAGCAATGCCTGAAATCCTTCAACGCTTCATGTCGTGTGGTTTCCAGAAACTACCTTTTTGACTAATGTGCTTAACTAAATTTGGAATTTTATATGACTAGATTCAGATTGGCAAATTGTCTCAATATGACACATAGGAACACATAGGAAACTAATGTCTCACAACTCCAATGACTATTCCTTGACCCCCTTTCTGAAATCCAGTCCCATCTCCCAGCAAAACGTGTCAAATTCGGCGGACCAACTAACGACCTGCGGGCCCCGCCTGTCCCAAATCCCAATCATCCAGGAAATTCACTTCATGAAGCTGCAAGAGCCCCTTGCCGTCCGCATCCAAACACCTCTGTCCATAGCTGCTGCTCTGCAAGCACGGAAGATTGGGTCATATGGCAGTGTGTCAAAACCCTGGTACCTAGTGAACCCCAAAATAGCTGGGATTTATGGATGTTCATCCCCCTAAAAATGGTATTAATAGGTATTGATCCATACCCATATCTGTCCATCCCAAAAACCATCGGAAACCATCGGAAAACCATACTTTTCATGGATTCTTCTTGGTGAATGCACTCGAATCACTCGAATCACTCGAATTCCCAGCCGTTTTTGTCAGATCCCATTCCCCCAAAATGGGGTCCCCTATGGCCCAGCCCTGGGCCTGAAGAGGGTGATTTCATCCCCCGTGAAGCCAAAGATTGACACCTCAGGCCACGGCAGCTCACCCGGAGGATTCCCAGTGGCCATCTGATTCAGAAATTATGGTGATTTATAGCCTAGTAATAATGATGGTTAATAATGATGGTTAATAGTGGTGGTTAATAGTGGTTAATAGTGGTTAATAGTGGTTAATAGTGGTTAATAGTGGTTAATAGTGGTTAATGATTCCCATTGTTGGTGGTTTATAGCCTGTATGAAAACCACGAGAAAAACCATCACATGTTTAACCACTATTCAGAAATGATGAACAAATCCATTCCAAAAAGACATAAAGGCTTTTGGGGAGAAAGCCTGGGCCTATTCGGACCAAGCTTATTGTCCCACTTTGGGTCACCCCAAGATTCCGAAACCGTCAAAGCGACCAAGATTCATAAGTACAACAGTCCCACAGTCCGAAAGACCACTGTTTGGGAGAAATGTGGAGTTTCTAACGCGCGTTTTCTGAGGTTTTGATTTATCACAGGCAAAACAGAGCATCCTGCACTCGCAAAAGGTGGCTGCGAAAATCTGCAGAGGAAAGGGATCATGAATCATGACAGGGGATCGTTGGCTTCAAAGTTTGCATAATTACAAATTATGGTTGTATTCCCATCACCGAAAGCCATGGAAACTGACATCCCATGCATTGAAGCTGCTGCGATGCGAAACTCCTTGATGGTCAGTTCACTTGACTTGTCCTTCGGGGGAAGCCGTGGTTCATTCAACACGGGGCGTGCCATGATGGCCGCAACAAGCTTGAAGGACTATGACTATACGTATATATGTCATATATGTGGAATATGTGAATGCAGATATGGAGAGACTTGTGTAGAAATTTGGATTGTACATTGCCGGTATTTCAGATGGCAACATTTCAAGCCCAACCCAGAAATCGTTCTGGTTTTGTTATGTTTTTTCCAAGTACGTGCGTGCACTTGCATATAAATAATTGATAGATTACGTAAGAACTCTTGAAGAGTTCCAACCACAAGAAACCACATATTTTCTGCAGCTGCTTTTGGGACATAATGACCGAGCTCAACAGTGCCTGGACTGCTACATCCTTAAGATCCAACAAAGGTGGGCTGGAAACTGACATCCATCCATTGTTAACCAATACTAACCATTATTAACCATGATTAATCATCATTAACCAATATTAACCCATATTAACCAATATTAACCATGATTAACCAATATTAACCATGATTAACCAATTATTAACCATGATTAACCATTATTAACCATGATTAACCAATTATATTAACCAATATTCCTGACAACCATCCCAGATCCATCCCAGGTCCCCTCTGTTTCTTTTCTCGGGCCCCTCCTTGTCCAGCACCCGGAAGGCGGCACGTACACCGCCGAACTCCTGGTCTGCCCATTGCTTCAGCTCCTCGGTGCGCCACTGCCAGTTGCTTTTTTGCAGCCTGATGGGACCTGATGGGGACCTGGTTGGATGGAAGGTTCAATGCCATAAAACACACCATGTTATGCCGTTATACCATCAAAAAATATCAGATTATACCAGTTTTATCCCATGATATTCCCATCTATCATGGTGGTTTTTTACCTTGTGAAGAACCCATTTGGGATCTGAGCGATAGCAGGCTCATCTTTTTTGAAACAGCACCGGATTCTGTCGCAGCGCCAAGGCTCTACCAGCATCTGGTTGGCAGTTGAATCCTTGAACGCCAGAGGCTGATTTGGTTAAATCTGGAAGTATATGATTGGTGGATATAGATGATCATCTATATAGTATTAGTAAAGTGATATATATAATCCACCAAGTGTAATTATATATAATTTGGATGATCATCTATATTGGTTCTACCAAGTATATATTGATTTATATATATATATTATTATATATTATTGGTCTGCCATTCTTTACAGTATTCTTCTCTCTGTACGATTTCAGCAAGTCTTCCTCTTGTCAAAACACTACTGTTACTGGCACAAGTTAGGATCCCGCACTTTAACGTCACGATTTGCACAAGTTTGTCCCCGTTACTAACTAGGGTTTGCATCTTTGTAGTCGACAAAATGGGAATGTCACATCTACTCCGATTTAAGAAGGGACAAGCATAGTGACAGCTTCAAAAAACACACTAGTAGACATACTATGACATACTTGCATGTTGGCCAAGAGTCTGTGTAATTACCCAGATTAGTGTATTCTGATTGCATTTTGCAATATGTTTCTGTGCCCCGTACTGTCCAGATATCGATGCACAATCGATGGACTTTCAGCAGAGGTGACTCTGGGATGGCCGAATTCTCTACTCCCGGTACCTGTCAAATGCTTCTTGAAAAAGGCAGGCTCACTAGTGTCAAATTTGCAGTAGCAGTTTTACTAGCAGCTTGGATGTCATCTAAGTGGGAGAATTGGAAGCCTTTCAAACCACCGCCCCCACTGCCGGACGACAATCTCGGCCAAAGTGATGGCACCACTCAAGTCCTGCAGCGAGGGAAGGAGGGGAGGACCGGAGAAAAAAAAAGACATCTCTGAACGATTCCGAAGTTGTATACATCTTTGGTTCCCAATCCAGGTCTGCTTGAAATTTGTGGGTCAAACGCGAAGAAAGCTTCAGGTCAACATCTGGTCCACTGACCCCAAACCTTGTCAAACTCCAACCAGGCACCAGCAGCATCTTCGAAGTTTAAGGACTTGCATGCAGTCAAGAACTCGAACCTTGACCCAGGTTCCACTTCAGAGGGGAACTGGGAAAACTGGGAACTGTGGAACTCCAGATTGGTGTCATCCCCGGATCTTTAATTCCTGGTTGATTAGGGGGCGTAGCCCAAAAAGTGATATAAAAGCTGCCTCTAGAACAGTACCCCCAACTCCACCTCCCAATAAAACGAATAAAACAACCCAGGCTGCAATCCTCGTTGTATCTGTTTGAGATCGTTTTCAGGCAGGGAAGCAGTATTGGCCAGAAATCATATGGAAATACATGTCGACGTTTACATTTCAAGTCTGCGGAGGAAATTGAAAAAAGGCGTCGATTCAGTCGCCTCCAAACGTATGTTTCTACTTGGTGGCGAACTACCCACGAATCGTAAGTGGGTTATAACCCCAGTTATAAGTGGATTAACCTACTTATCCCATTTATAACTGGGGTTATAACCCACTTCCGATTCGTGGGTAGTTCGCCACCAAGTAGCTTTCAGACCGACTTCCACCCCCAAACTTCACCACAGTGAAGCCATCTGAATCAACATTCATGTCAATAGGTCAACATCCTGTGGATGGGCTAGCGAAATCCAAATCACCAGTTGATGGTAAACATCCCATGATAGGCTTTCAACCATCCAAGCCAACATACGGTGGATGGGCCAGCGAAATCCGATAAACCACCAATTTGGGATGGTTGAAACCCTATACATACTGGGATAAATAAACCATCTATCAACTGGTGATTTGGATTTCGCTGGCCCATCCACAGTATGTTGTCAACATATGGGGATGGGTCAAAACCCTGGTACCTAGTGAACCCCAAGTCATAGCTGGGATTTATGGATGTGAATAACCCACTAACAAATGGTATGAAAATAGGTATTGATCCATAGCCATATGTTGACAACACATGTATATGGCTATGGATCAATACCTATTATATAATACCATTTTTAGTGGGATGAACATCCATTTACCAGCTTTTTTTGATGTTCACCTGCCATATGTCGCCCAGCCGCCAGTTGCAGGTATTGGAATTGTCTTTGTCCATCAACCGCCAGCCTCGCAGAGGATGTCCATACTTCTCCTGAGATCAGGTGACCGTCAGGTGAAACGGAAACCCTGGCGGTGATGTCATGTTGTCTCCTTAAGGAGAAAAACATAGAAAAACCGTAAAACGTCCATAGCATCACAAGTTTGTACTGATATTTATATACTTTATGTAAATGATTGTAAATGTACATATATTCTTCGTGTATGATTCGACATGATGGTACATGATGGTACATGATAGTACGTGATGGTACATGTACTGTATATCTTGTCAAATTACATCTCAACATATATCAACTCGTGTTTTGTTTTCAAACAAAACGCCTAAAAAATTCGCCGCCGTCCGATGCTCCTTCAGCAGCTGCCGAAACTTCTGGGCCGAGTCAGGGTTCGCGGTGGCCACCAGATACGCCGGGGGCTTCCAGGTGTCAAAGAAGAGCACATCTTCCATGGCCACCGCCTCAACGACAGGAATAGGAAGGATGGGTATATCAAAATATGTGAAAGATATATCAAATATGTCAACATATGAAGGGAGTCAACATTCAACATTCAACATATGTCAAATATGAAGGGAGTCAAAGGCGTTGGAAGACTTTTTGACTGTTGTGCTGGCAAGCCAAACCATTTTGGGAGTTGCCAGAGTTTTGAGCCGTAAACACATTTCAAGCGGGAAATGCTTATGATCAAATCAATACTGATTTCATATCAGCTCCACTCCCAAAATCATGGAGATGGGGTATGCCGACACAGATTCCTTGTTGAGAGTTACTGGAAATCAACCAAAAAAAAACTGGTAGAAGAGAACGCCAGGGATTTGTCCATGAGAAAAAAAGTAGGTAACATTGGTAACATTCCATGCATTCTCGTCAATCATCACACATGAGTATGTCTGCAAATAGGGGCACCTTAGATGACCATCCTAAAATTTCATTCAAAATGCAACTTTGTGCATGTGACGGCATATGGGGTTGGTCGGTGTGCCTTTCATGTTCAGACCCATATATATATATAAACAAATATTATCATATTATATATATACAATCATATTCTATATATATAATCATATATATATATAATCATATATATATACTATATATATATATATGTATATAATCATATTCTGGGCTTATCCCATTCAAAAGAACACAGAAAAAGCCATTCTGGGCTACTGGTCTGAAGACCCGACCATTGGTGAAATCCCCGAAATCGAAAAAAAAAAAAACGACTCGACGACGGGACATTCTTCTCTTGCCAGTCCAGCCAGTTGCTGATCTCAACCACCTCGATCCTTAGTGATCGGTGGATAGCGACAGAAAGGACGGGTTTTAAGCCTTTTCAGCAACAAGAACTGACAGTTCACCAAGAAAAATCAACAAAAAATATCATTTACCCTCTGGTATATTAACATAGACCCTGGCAGATGGGGGTTGGAAGATTAGTTTCCTCTAAAAATTAAATTTACCAGAGGGTATCATTTAACCATGTTTAACCACTGAAATTTGGGACTTCACCCGTGAAAAATGGTGATCTTCATGAAAATGTCAACCAAAAATGGGCTGTTGAATACTCACATGTGCCATGGTCAACTTACGGCTTTAACGTGCTACGACCGTCCCTGGTTGGTGCCAACATTTCGGGTTGGTGACCATCCCAGCCCTGAAAAAAAGTCATCAACCCGCTGGGAGGATCATCCCAAAATAGGCCTGAAAAATGTGAAAAACATAGTATTTACCATTTGCTTATGACTAACATAGCCATGGAAAATCCCCAAAATAAATGGAGGTTTCTGTCGCTGGGAAAATCATCTATTTCGATTAGGGCCATCTATACCATGGCGAACTGTTAAATAACCAGAGGGTAGAATGCTTGAAACCACCAGATTTTATGCTGGAACGGTAGCTTGGCGAACTGCTTGAACTGCTTGAACCAACACGGGGATGAAGCAGTGAATGAAACCCTGAATCACCACCAGATCTGGTTTAACTTCAATATAACATGTTGTAATCTGCTGCAACTATACCACTAACTTGGATTCACTGGCGGGCATCAATATTGTTTTTCTCATGAATAATATCAATAAATGGATTTAGAGGTAATCCCAAATACTACCAAATCAAGTATGTCTGATGACTAAACTGGTACCCGACCAATTTTATCTTTCGGTTTTCCGTGAAGTAGCCCCAAATTGAGCGTTGTCACCATATTTTCTTGATGCTACAGGAAAACTTCTCGTCACTCGCAAAAAATCCCAGCATCCCCCCAAACTATATACATATATATATATATCATATACATCATATACATCATATACATCATATACATCATATACATCATATACATCATATACATCATATACATCATATACATCATATACATCATATATAACTATATATCATATATTGGAGATAGTGATTCTTCATGATCATCCAAAAATAAACTAACGATCCAACCAGGGGGATCCCACCAAGACACTCTGACAGGCTGATGCCCAAGCGTTGCAGCTCACGTTGGAAGACCTCGTGGCTCAGCCGCAACTTGCCACGCCGGTCCAGCGCCTGCGGTAAAAAAAAAACGGCAAGGGAAAAGTCTAGGATCTCGCCGGCTTAACCAGCATGTATATATGTACATATACAGTAGATATATATATATATATATATATGTACATATGTGTAACAATGTGTATATATATATATATATGCACCAGGCCCTGCCACCCCCCCCCTCCCCCCCCCATATGGGATGGGTCCCATATACTGGTCCCATATGAGATCTTCCCCCTCCCCCCCTGTGGTGTGGTGGGGGTGTGGCACTGTCCCCCTCCCCCCCCTGTGGTGTGGTGGATGGGTCCCATATACTGGTCCCATATGAGATCTTCCCCCTCCCCCCCCTGTGGTGTGGTGGGGGTGTGGCACTGTCCCCCTCCCCCCCCTGTGGTGTGGTGGATGGGTCCCATATACTGGTCCCATATGAGATCTTCCCCCTCCCCCCCCTGTGGTGTGGTGGGGGTGTGGTATGGTATGGTGGGTATGTATGGTGTGTATGGTCGGTCTGGTATGGCATGTTTGGAAAGTATGGTATGTTTGGTATGTATGGTAGGTATGGTATGTATGGCATGAGTGGTTGGTATTGTATGGATGGTAGGTATGGTATGTAAGTCTGTTGGATATGGTATGTTTGATATGACAGTATGTATGGTCTGTATGGTATGTATGGTTACTATGATGGGTATGGAATATGTCCTATCTAAGGTAGGTATGGTATGTATGGCATGTATGCTTGCTATTGTATGTATGCTATTGTATGTATGGTAGGTGTGGTAATTACATTTCATATGTATGGTATGTATGGTATGTATGATAGATATGATAGGTATGGTATGCATGGCATCATTGACATGTATGGTAGGTACGGTATATGTTCAACAGAGGTAGTGTTGTCAGAGTACACAGGTAGTAAACAGGAAGTAGATACAGTAGATACATAGCACATGTATGTATGACTATAGGTAGCACGTAGGTACTTTGAAGGAGTATGTGTGCTACGTAGGTCGCCTAAAAGGTAGCATGTACCTAGTAAATGCGAGGCTGGTAGTCAGAAATGCTGCAAAGACCTAGCAAATACGACGCTGGACCTCAGAAATGCTGCCAATAGCTTGCAAATAGAAGGGAATTGGGGCTACTACCTGGGGACCCAACCCATGGGGGGGGGCGGGGTGGAGAGACGGAGGACGGGACCATATATACATATGTGCATATATGTAGGTTTTCTTGTTCTATGTGTACGCATAAAGATTGCCGGTTTCACCACTCACATTAGCTCGTCACAAGAAAGTGACCAAGCGCTTGACCTGCGGTTCCGCTGGCCTTCCACATTGGATGTGCAGGTCTGGGCCCATATTTGGCCTGCGGACAGGTACCAGGCAGCTCTTCTGTGTGAAGCTGGACGTGTTTCCTTACTGGTGCTTAACGTAGGGAATTTTCGGGAATGATCCATGTCATCACTAGTAATAATCCCAGCAACCCCCAGCAACCCATCCAATCCCTACGTAAAACGCACCAGTAAGTTTCTCTTGTCATGGTCAGATGTTGATTTACGCTTCGAAAAAGAAATGGTATGAGATTTGGGTGAGATGTCTGGGGACACATTTGTCGCAAAGTCCCACAAGGCTTGAAGGCTTGAAGCATGAGGAATTCGCCGGCTGGGGGCCATTCCCAATTCAGCAGTGTTCAAAAGCCTCTGTTATCCCCCTGTATTCTGGTGAATTGATAGGGATTTCCATGATGGATGACGATAATTGCCAATAGATTATGAGGTATAACCCCCTAAAATAATCCTAAAATAACTTCTAAACTAGGCTTTTGGTCACTTTGTTCCAGCCCAAAGCTTCGACGCACCTCTGCCCAATGTCGAAAGCGTGCCAGCTGCCGCGCGCAGCGAGCGTCCAGCTCTTGAAGTGAACAGGTACCTGCAAAAACAGGTTCCTTCATGCTTCCACAAATTTCCCCCGAAACAGCTACGGAGCGTTTATATTTCATAACATTCCAGGTTGACATCAATCACAGCATGCATATACTGTGAGTGTATATATATATATATATAATGTATATGTACTGTATATGCAACATGCACCATCTCTCCTTAGCTTCCCACAGCACTCCTGGAAACACAAAAAAAAGAGGTCCCAGCAAGTCCGATCTATGGAAACTTTCCATGATCATGGGGGTACCCCAATAGCTGGATGGTTTATTTCATGGAAAATCCCAAAATAAAATGGATGATGGTACCCGGGGTACCCCCATGACTTAGGAAACCTCCATATATACATATATATATATATATGTATATTACCTGTTTGCCAATGGGGATGATTCTCGCAGGTGGGATGGACGTGGCAAACTGATTGCTGAGTTCGCCAATGGACAGAAGTTCACGGAACTTGGAGTGGGTTGTGTACCAATAGCAGAGTCGAAAAGCTATTGGAAAACCAAAGCTATTGTCGTGTTCCATCCCGCGCAGCCGATGAGCACATTGATGAGCCCCTTCTGATGAAGAGGTTTTTTTCGTGTATATATATATAATATATATATATATAATATATATATAATATATATATAATATATATATATAATATATATTATATATATTATATATATACTATATATATATTATATATATATTATATATATACTATATATATATATTATATATATACTATATATATATTATATATAAAATGTAGAAGACATAACTGACTAAATAATCCTCCCACGGAAAATGAACATGTTCCACAACCTGCAAGACCGGATCCTCTGTCCAAACAGGATCTGTCACGGGCATAGGCTTTGCAGCAAACATGTGCCAAATGCAGAAGTTCTGCCAACATCAAACTTGAAATCCCAGTCATTCTCTGCTTTCAAGTCTTTGAAAAGGCAGTGAAATTAGGATGGTCAAATCAACCCAGCCATCGGAAAACCAGCAGGGCGGCTATTTGAACCTACCACCGTATCATAACCCTCTAATTTTCCCATCAAAAGCATCATTTACAGGAAGCTGTTCCATGGTCCCATTGGTTTCCGTTCCCAAAGCATTCCATTTCCGGCGATGTCCCGACCCCGGGGGTGCCTGCCGAGTCCGCATCCAGCGCTTGCCAGAGGAGACGCACGTCACCTTTCCATCCTAAGGAGCGACAGACCTTGAAGAGCTCTGCGCGCTGGAGGTTCATGGTGCCTGCGACGGCGCACCCAAACCTGGTCCCTTCAACGATCCAAAGGTACCCTCTGGTAATGACTAACATAGCTATTGAAAATGACCATAGAAATAGTGGATTTTCCCATTAAAAATGGTGGATCTTTCCACGGCTATGTTACATTACCAGGGGGTATGTCCGGTATGTCCGGTATGTCACACATCCAAAACATCTGAAGCAGGTGGTGTTGAATGTACCATAATGTACCCATGAAAATCACAAACAAGGGCATTTTACATCATAAAAAGCTGGCTTATAGATGAGACGCATCACACACAGAAGATGTGGCCCCATCATGTGGCACCCTCACTCAAAATGTGAAGAAACAGAAGGTGAAGTGCCACGTTGAGCAGCTTCGTAAGCACCACCAAGGCTGTGGCGAAACACTTTGGGGATGTTGAAGCTTCAGAGTGTGTGCACATTCCATTCGCTGGGCCACACTCCAGTGGGATTCATGTCCATTGTCAATGGCAATTTTTTTCAACGCTTCCTAGTTCCCAACTGCAAAGCTGGAATGACTGGAATGATGAAAAGATATGAAAAGTTTGCACTCTAAAAATCTATCATATCTTGGATATAACCCCAGTTACAAGTGGATTAACCCTATCATATCTATCATATCTTGACATATCTTGACTTATTCGTGCTGAGATTTGAAGTAACCAGGAGCTCAAACGCCCGCCGCGGTCGGTGAAACACCACGCCCAAGGGGCCATCGCTATCCAATGCCCTTCGCCAAGCATAATAGGTCTGCCCAAAGTGATGGGTCAAATAGGCCTGGCGAAGCTCACCAAGGTGCCAATTTTCTACAAGTCTGAACGGTACAAAAAGAACTGTAGCCTGAAATCCAGTGAATCCTTTCCATGTTCGTCCTATTAAAATGGCTAGTGGGGGGTACGCTATTTTCAGACACACTGATAAAGAAACCACGAAACTGGAGATGAGGAAGTAACATGTCAACCCGGCGTGCGCAGAAACACCAGCGGCTGTAGCCCGAATCATCGGGGATTGCTTGCGCAGTTCCACTTAGAAAATGTTTGTTTTTTTCCATAGTTATAGCAGATTTATAAATGTGTTTTTTTCATGCAAACAACTATGGAAAAACCAGATGTTCTAACCGCATGTTAGAAGTTGTAATTATAACACCATTGTTATACAGCGGTTATACCAAAATGTTTAGATCACCCCAGCTGACCCCCAAGCGGGTGCATCAGCGAGCGCCACAAACGCAACAGCCTCAAGCAAATCCTTAATCGCCTAAGACCACAATGCCCGCATGAAACTGGAAGCTACAGCAGTTGAGACCCATGAATACCCTCTGGTAATGACTAACATAGCTATTGAAAATGGCATTTTTTGGGGGGGGGGAAATCAACTATTTCTATGGCCATGTTCAATAGCTATGCTAAATTACCAGAGGGTATCCTATTTGATAACCGCTGTTGCTGGTAAAACATCCCAATGAATGTTCGATTCAAAGGGACAGATACAAAATGTTGAGTACCAATGCCGCAGAGCGATCTAAAGCGATACCTTAGTAAAGCACAGCACGTGTTGCAGTATCCCCAAAATGGCTTATCCTTGAAGCTAAAAACCCTAAAAATGTAGCAATGTAGTACCCTCTGGTAATTTAACATAGCTATTGAAAATGGCCATTTATAGTGAGTTTTCCCATTAATAGCATGGTGATTTTCCATAGCAACATGTTAGTTTACCAGGCCGGGTAGTTCAATTCAGAACAGAAAACCTCTTCGTGATACGATGTGAACAGATGAATTCCATCGGATTCCTTTCCCTTCCGGGGCGCCTTGAAATCCAGAAGCGCTTTCTGACGATTTCTCCTCCCGGATTGGGGTCTACTTCGACTCGCCATTTTAAAAAAATATTTAAAAAAAAGGGCATTCCTGCTCAGTGTCAACCATTCAAACTTCCCAACCTTCATTTTAGGTTCTCAAACTAGAATATGGTGTCCTTCACATAGGTCAGGTCCTTTAAAGAATGAATAGAACAGCAAACATATTTTAGAATATATACCATCTGGTTATTTAACATAGCCATGGAAAATCACCATGCTATTAAGTTCGGTAAACCATCTATTTCTATGGGCCATCTATACCATGGCTATGTTAAATAACCAGAGGGTAGAATATATATATATATATATAGATACCCTCTGGTAAACTAACATAGCTATTGAAAATGGCCATTTATAGTGGATTTACCCATCAAAAATGGTGATTTTCGATAGCTATGTTAGCTTACCAGAGGGTACATACCACGCCTTGGCATAATGCACATCTCCCCAGTTTTCTTCATCCCAGAAACCCAAAGCCTCGCAGTCATGCGCACCTTCTGGTCAGCCGTGGCCTGGAAACACTACCCTCCGCTAAACATACGAAAAGATATTGAAGCCATGGCCCAGTCGACATAGTTGATTTACCCACTAAAAATGGCGATGTTCCATAGTTAACCCACTAAAAATGGCGATGTTCCACAGTTTTTTGTATCTTTTTTGTATGTTTACCAGACCTGGTAAGACATTTGATGTATCAAAAACGTCACGTCACGCAGATGCCATGTTTGACAAAGAATCCCACAGGGGAAAACCCTAGGAAATCCTAGGAAAACCCATAGGAAAATGGAGGTTTACCATCTGGTAATGACTACCATAATAGCTATTGAAATTATGGCACCTTTAGTTCGTTGATTTACCTATTAAGGATGGTGATTTTCTACAGCTATGTAACAGTTTACCAGAGGGCAAACAGGCTTCCAGAAAATCCCAAAGATATTCGAAAATCCCAAGGACTTCATAGGTTTTTTTCATGGCTTTCGGCTCCCAACAGGTTTCCAAAAAGCCCCGGATCTATTCGTTGACCCCCGAGAGGATGCCCTTGGGCCGGCCTTCTGCTTGGCTTCGCATTTCAAGGTGTACCTTCGCACCTCTGGCTCCAACCAATGGAAATTCCTGGATGCGGTAACGGTACCATGAAAGGATGATCCAATCGACTTGGTCATCCAACAAGTCGAAAAATGGTGGTTTAATGGGAATACAATGGGAGTATGATAGAATATTAATGGACTATTAATGGACTATTCATGGAATATTCATGGAATATCCATGGAATATCCATGGAATATCCATGGAATATTAATGGGTGAATGCCCTCCGGGTGCCATCAAACGTGGCTTGCTGATCCTCAATTTATCAATGATTTCCCCAGCTGTAAACATCCATCTCCTGCGGGGATTTTCCAGCGTTCCACGTTTGATCACCAGATGGTATTCCCAGAAATGAGGATTTACCAATGGGGGAAAATAAAAAACATATTCAGCAAATTCTAAGTCCCTGCTGCTTGATAGTTGAGGTTCCGAAGTGCATGGCTTGATTTCATATCACCTTGTCACCGTGTCACCCCTTACAAGGTGGTGCCCCCCCAGTTAAAAGTTTGTTTATAATCCCACTAACTATAGATATATCTACCATAAGTCCTAGTTATTAGAGTTATAAACCAACTTAGCTATCTTGGGGGCCCCACTTTGTAGCAATTCCCATGACTGCTTGATTTGCGAAGACCTTGAACTCATTAGGGTCAATTAGGCACTGAAATCAATGGAAGTGGGACCCACCTCGCCATGCTTACCATCCCCAAAAGTTGCTGGTTTTTTGTCCAAAGCCATTTGGGTTTGGCTACACATAGGATGCCAAAATTTCTATCCACTGCTTAATTATTGCCTTAAACATTGCCATAAATTTATTATCAACGGTCAATAGTCTTGGGTTTGTCAAATCCACTGGTAAAGTGGGATACTTCTCCATTTTAACTAATATCCACTTGTAAACACCCATTGTCCGTTCATAAGTTCAGGAATTCTGTACCATTTCACAATCCATCTCTACAATTTCGAACAATTGCCATAAAGCCATTTCGAAATACCACTTCATAAGTCATTAATTATCCATTCAGAAACCATAAAATTGATAAGTTCATAAATTATTCACCATTTCATCATATGCCATCATCCAATTCTACAATTTCCCTAGAAAAAAATGCCATAACCAGTTCTGGCTGGTGGTTTCAACCCCTCTGAAAAATGATGGAGTTCGTCAGTTGGGATTATGACATTCCCAATATATGGCAAAATAAAATTCCATGGTTCCAAACCACCAACCAGTGTATATATATATATGTATATATATATATATATACACATATATATATATACATATATATATATATACACATATATATATATATACTGTATAATAAGTCTCACCCATCCCATTCACCAACCTTTTGAGGATCATTTAAAAAAAAAAAAAAAACTATTGCCATAACCAGTTCAAGTATAACTATGATAGATAACTATAACTATAGAAATACTATATAGAATACAATTTTGCCATAATTATCCATGGATAACTCTAGAAATACTATAGATACCCTCTGGTAAACTAACATGTTGCTATGGAAAGATCCACCATGCTATTAATGGAAAAATCCACTATTTCTATGGCCATGGCTTCAATAGCTTTTTGTTAGTCATTACCAGAGGGTAACTATTGCCATAACCAGTTCATTCCCAGGAACGACGCTTCTGCCATCGGTGCTAAGCCCTGGAAGGCCCCGGGGCCCCCGCGCCTCTGTCCCAGCAAGGCCTCGTCGTAGCGGTCCAAGGCATCGAAGATGATCTCCTCATGCCCTCGGCTCCACGGCATCACGGCATCCCTCCGTTTTTTTGGACGAAAAAATGGGGAAAAAACACCATTTTTTGGTAGGTCAATCATCTATCAATGGGAAAACCCAGCATTTTTTGAGGCTAAATCAATGAAATCATCTATGAACATGGGCCAGTGTCCAGGTTTTGAGCGGGGGTTCTGATGGAGTTCGAATGATGATTGGGATTCGAATGGGAAAAGGCAACCATTTTCTGGTGATAGAATGGGAATATACTAAGATATACGATATATATATATATATGTGTGTGTATGTATACACATATAAGCAAGAATACTTGGATGTGCCTGAAAACAGAAGAACTATCATCTATGTGTGGCAATCTATAGATAGGAAAAAAGATGATGAACTAGTGCATGGAATAGAGTAGCCTATTTCCAGAGAAGCCCATTTACATATTGGTTGTGACTGGGGTTCAACTAGTTTTTGCTCGCTCTTTTTATCAACCGTGAGGAAAGGGACGTCCATGAGTGTTGAGCAAGTCAGAGCTTGCAGGTTTGAATCAAAGAAGTCCTGAAATAAACTTGTACAGTATTTGGTGGCAAACTACCCACTTTGTAAGTGGGTTATAACCCCAATTATAAGTGGATTAACCCTGCAAAAATCCCATGTAAATCACTGGGGTGAACTAACCCACAACCACGATGAACGTGGGTAGTTCGCCACCAAGTAGGGATCAATCAACAAATTCAAGGGGGAACCAAACGTCTGGGTGTCACCCTGAGATCGCCTTGGATCTTCCCAAAGAGCCGGGGTAAGTCAACAACCATCAACCCCATCCAGATACCCTCTGGTAAACTAGCGTAGCGAACTGGAAAATCACCATCCTTAATAGGTAAAACATCTAATAATGGTCTATGTTCCATAGCTATGCTAAATTACCAGAGGGTATATGATATAACCATAACATGTTTTCGAAACAAAAAAAACGTGGAGGGGTTCATCCTTCAAGAAATTGCTGGCTTCATCGGGTGTTTTGCCAACCCACGGAGCTCTGACTTTCGGCCTCCAGTCCATCCACAACGACGTAAGCCCTCGCACCACTGCCTGCGACCAACGGTCCCATCTGAGGTCCACCCATGGAGCAACCAATTTTTCACCGACCTCAAATAGAATCCATCAAAAACACCATGGGAAATAAACATTGATCATTTGATGAATTCCATGTGTTGGATTCCATGATGATCAGCAACCATTTTTTGACCTTCATCTTCCATAGAAAGTATGATGAAGTTGAAGGGATCCTTCATCACCAATTCGTTTCATATGAACCGAAGATGCAGAAAACCGAAGTTTGCGATCTGAAACGGATGTGTCCAAAACTGTGTTGCTCCGCCGTGGCATTTCCGCGCTGAGATGTCTCCTTCTGCGTGCAAGTTTTGTTTATTGAGAACCTTAAAGAAAAGATTTCCCAACATAAAATGTGTGTTTTCCCACAGTGTGTGTGTGTGTGTGTCATTTCCCCTTTTTGAAGGTGAAGCATGTCATGTTTTATCTGCATGGATTCCATGGATCCTGGAGTAGCTCGGAGTAGCTGGGAGGATCCTGTGTGTAGAACAACACATCTGCAAAAACGACCCGTGTTTTTGCAACCTCCAAATAGAAAAGGTGGTTACCCTCTGGTGAACTAACAGTTTGCGAACTGGAAAATCACCATTTTTAATGGGAAAATCCACTATTTCTATGGCCATGGCTTCAATAGCTTTTTGTTAGTTCACCAGGCCGGGTAAACCTGGGATTGGTGATGAGGGAAAAACATGATCTGTGACCTCCCAGGATCATATTTTTTCACAATTGATTGCTGGCTTGATATCCGATAAAACGTTTCTGAAAATGGGATGTGAAGCCCTGGAGAAATCTTCAAATTTTAGTATGGTTGCTACCCTCTGGTAATGACTAACGTAGCTATTGAAGCCATGACCATAGAAATAGTGGATTTTCCCATTAAAAATGGTGATTTTCCATAGCTATGTTAAATTACCAGAGGGTAACTTTCCATCCATTTTGTTCCCTTTTGGTTCAGGTCCAGTCCCATGTGAAAAATATCATCAAGATCCCATTGTATCCCCATCAGACAATCCCATGTTCTTGGAGTTGCGTAATAAGAAAAAAAACATTATTTGGCGAAAAAAATATCCCCATGATATGGATCCCATTTTTTTTTGGATTCTGAACATATCATCAAGATCCCATTGAATCCCAAAAACATGTTTAAAAAATCCCCAAGAAAGATTCCGGTCGGTGGAATTCTGGGAATGTTTGCCAAATCATCTGCAAGTTTTCTCCCATGAAATCCCACTTGTCCCATTAAAAAAACTGATGGTCATGGGATTTTTTGTGGGATGTTTGATTCATTAATCCCATGATCACTAATCCCATTCATCACTAATCCATTAGTCCCACATATCACTTAATCCATCTTAATCCACTCATTCAACCCCTATTTCCCAAGGGATTTTTTGTTGGACATGGCACGATGCATCCACCACTAAGGGCGAAAAACCCAGTCGTGGAGTTCCAGAACCTGCGGGGAGAACGGCTACAGGGACCTTTCGCACTTTTTTTAAAGGTGGATAGGAATGTGGTGAAAAATATCATGGGGATGTACTCAAGTGATATTTTTCCATGTCATTTTTCCATGATATCACTATAATGGATAAGGGTTGAATTCAGCTAAACTAAGATGGATGTTGTCCCTGCTATTTTGGAAGAAAATCCTTAAGATCCGGTCGCCAGCCTGGAGAACCCAAGTGACTCAAGTGAAGTACTTGGATGTGCGCTGCCACTAAGTGCTTCATGAAAGTTATACCAAGATATATATGTATATATGTGGGATACCCTTTTGCGGATGTAGATCCATATATCTTGGTCTTTATCTATCTACATGTATGTTTACATAAAGATACCCTCTGGAAAACATACAAAAAACTACGGAAAATCACCATTTCATAGCTGGGTAATTCAACTATGTCTATGGCCATGGCTTCAATAGCTTTTCGTATGTGTACCAGAGGGTATAAATTCCATTTACAGTTGATTTACCTATTAATTTCCCATTGATTTACCTCTATATATATCTATAATATATATATAGCCATTTGTAGAGTCATTCTTCAGTCATCCAGTGCGACGCCGGCGGTGCGACGCCGGCGCCTGCCAACTTTTGAGCCAGAGAGATACTTTTTCGCCTCGTCTGTGTTCACACCGAAATGTCATGTGGGCGGTGCAAGTTGGGATGAAAAATGGGCTTTCATATGGGTAAAACAATGGATTACTTACTGGTGGATTTCCCACACATGGGTGGATTTTCCAGAATATTTCGTTAATCATGGTAACACCTTACTGGTGCTTACTTAGTAGGGAATGGATGGGTTGGGAATGGGGGTTGGTTGCTGGGATGATGAAATTGATAGTTACTGTGGATCATTCCCTCAGACTCATTCCCTCAAATAGCACAAGTAAGGTCACTTGTAATGAGAATCTTTACAGTGAGCGTATGGTAATTCCCTCTTAATGGATTCATGGATTCATCTCATAGGGAAAATAACTCTGTTTTTGTGTGCATCAAGCTGCCCAAAAACGGTGCGGCTTGCTCGTGTCCAACTGGCCACATCTAAATCTGCAGAAAACATTGGCGATGGGACATGCGCAGGTGCAAATGGTGTGCTATCTGATTTTTTTGGGATAAAATGGCGTGATCATTTTCCCAAAAAGAAGTCATCATGGTTATCATCGTTTTCCCCATTGAAATTGACAATTGTCGGGCAAATCCCATTTTCAGACACACCCAGACATACCATATTTCTTGGTTTTTTGTCCATGACATTCCCATTTTCTCTCCATTGAATCACCATGTTATCTCCATTCTACAAGGTGGTGCCCCCCAGTTATAAGTTGGTTTATAATCCCATTAACTATAGATATATCTACCATAAGTCCTAGTGAAATTAGAGTTATAAACCAACTTAGCTATCTTGGGGGCACCACATTGTACCCCAGTGTCTACTGAACCGCCCCAACATGGCCAGTGGTGTGTCCCTGGCTCCTCGCCTCTCAATGTCATCGGATTCCTTTCGATCTGCCAGCCGCACCAACAGATCCTTGGGACCTGCCATGCGGTGGATTTTCCCCCACGAGCTGCGGAAGTGCTGCTGCTTTTGGTTAGTTTACCCGGTAAAAAACAGGATGGGGTCCTACAGTAGGATTTTGGCTAAGTTGGTGAACATAACTATGTTATACCAATAGTGATCTAATTTTTTTTATTCATTCCCCCTAATACTAAACTCCCCCCTATTAATAAACACCTCAGGTAGTTTTTAGTAGGGGTATTTATTATTAGGGAACCCTATTGATAAAATTAAACCCTTAATAATAAAAACTAGTTTGTTCGATTTCAAAATCAATTAAATTTCTTTATATAACGCAATTAAAATATTGCCAAAAATTGGATTTCGAAGCGGACCCTATTAATAAAACTAAACCCTTAATAATAAAAACTAGTTTGTTCGATTTCAAAATCAATTAAATTTCTTTATATAACGCAATTAAAATATTGCCAAAAATTGGATTTCGAAGCGGACCCTATTAATAAAATTAAACCCTTAATAATAAAAACTAGTTTGTTCGATTTCAAAATCAATTAAATTTCCTTATATAACGCAATTAAAATATTGCCAAAAATTGGATTTCGAAGCGGACCCTATTAATAAAATTAAACCCTTAATAATAAAAACTATTTTTTCACTAATAAGAAATGAAAAGCCCTAATATAAAAAACTAAGACCCTAATAATAAACACCCCGGGGTGAACTAGTTTTTATTATTAGGGGGCAAAACCCACAAATGGTAGCTTTATTCGTAAATTGTTGTCTAAAGGGGATCAATTAAAAGTCAAATTGACCAATCTGAAATTTTCCGAAATTAGAGATGGACCCTAGTTTTTAGTATTTGGGGACGTTTTTTGTAATAGGGGGAAGGGATTTACTGTAGATGGGGTGAAAAAAATCAACAAACATCTGCCTGGGTGGCACCATCCGATGATCTCCCAAGTGTGCTGCAGTCAGACAGCAACCGGGACCTACCCAAGCTTCGGTGACATGAACCGTCGTTGAGCGAGCCTTTAAAAAGGGAACGGCAAATCCATCCGAAATGAATAGACTTTAGCAAACTCCACTGATTCTGAAGCACTTTGATGAGGGTTTTGGGATTTCTTTTTGTTGGTTAAATGGTTGTCTGGGCACTTCTGAGAAAACCACCACCATGTAGCCCGCCTGAGAAAGTGATCCCGCAGAACTTCCGAAATTTCCCCCAGAGAACGGCCAAGTCCTCATTGATTTCCTGACAGCTGGGCTTTGAAATTCCCCCAGGCCGAGTTTTCGACACAAGCTTCGTCGAGCTTTCTAAAGCCCTACAAGTAACATCAAGTAACCATGTCTTCTCCAGGAAAGAAACATGTTTTTTGCGTGACAAGCTTTGCACGTTCATTTGAGAATAGTTAGACAGTCAGACGAGACCCACTGACAAACCCAAAACTTCCAAAGGTGAAGCAGCAAACTCAACATTGAATGCAATCAAACAAATGCATCAAAAACGTTGAATTCAAACTGAGCTTGCTTCCTGTGATCCAAGTTTGGGAATTTACAATTAAAAAAAGGGGCAAAATGAACCAAGGCATTGACAAGTGCTCCAGTTGATATGTCTGGAGAGTGGCATGTTTGGACAGTGGACAGTGGAAAGGGCAGTTCACATATAACAATATCTTAAATTTTAAACCAATCCAAAAATGTCCTCTCACAAAAGAAGAAGGCGCAAAACACGAGACAGCAGCTGAGAAGATTGATTTCGATATCTCCTCGAAGACGCAACTCTGCACGTCTGCCATGTCATTGTGGGGACTTCTGTAACATCATCCACCACATGCCCTCATGGCCAAGCCAAGCAACGCGCAGGCTGATGCTCTCTGCATCCGCCAGTGCCAGTTGATTCCAGAATTCCCCTGGATTACCAGGATACGACATCCGTGAAATACCTCGGTTTCGGTATTTCAATGGTCATCCTTCAAACCCGAATCAGTCAATAATTTGTCCTGCAGAGGGGGGTCAAATATCACATTGTTGGGTATACATCACGTTGTAGACACATCAGATCCAATAAATGGGGATGTCCGAAAATTGGGTATCCTACTCTTATGAGTCCAACAGCACAGAGAATCTAAGGTTTTGTTTCAAAGATGGTATTGAAAAAAAAAAACAGAGCAAACACCAAAAAACAAACTAGAAAACCAAAATGTAAGGAAAAAAAACTTGGGAAAATCCAGGTGTTAATTGTGTTTTCTTTATTTCTTGTTCTTGTTCGTTTTTTCTAGTCATTCTTCCTGTCTTTTCGTGTGTTTTTGGTGATTCTGTTTTTGTTAAAATCAACTTTCTCTGAAGCCGGTGTTGACTCATCCTACTTCTTCCATCCATGATTCATCCCGTCATATCCCAAGTATCTCCACGATCTATCCCCGACCGGTCGTCCAGAGATGTCGTTTCTTGGCTAAGCATTGAGTCTATGGGTCAACAGATTGGTACCTTGGTGAACATCATTTTTTAGTCGCCTCAAATATGATATATTAAAATATATGGTAAACATACAAAAAGCGAAATGGAAACGCCATCACTTTTTCATAGGTAGATCAACTTTCTTTCTATGGTAATTTTCAATAGCTATTGCTACATGACCGGAGGGATCCGGTTCCGGTAAGATGTGTTGATTCATCCACCACCTGCAGGCCACTTAACTGGGCCGCCAAGAATCTATCAAGAAACTCCTGCTTCTCAATGATTCCATTCATGTTCGTGTCAAAGTATTTGAACCATGACTTGAGAATCGAAGTCTCCTGGGATATCTGGGATGGGATTGGAAGGTATGGGAAAAACCATGGAAGTCTGCAGAGGCCTACCGGTCCCCAATGGGTCTATGGTAGAAAGAAACCCTTTGACGGTGGGGGATTATCGCAAGCAACATACACAGAGATGTATGGGCTGTATAGGGAACAAACGCAGGTCATTCATTACTTAATATGAATATAAAATCCCTAAGACTTGGAGCCCCATGGCTGTACAGGAAAACAACCACCTGTGTTGAAGTTTCAGTCATAGTTTCACTCATAGCACAAATGCTGTGGCAAATTCTACGTGTTGTGCTTGCAGGGACCGGAACCTTCTTGTCACCAGCACCAGCATCGACATCCCGAAACACTCGGCATGTCCGGTTTCCTTGACGCCCATTACTCGATGGAAAAAAATGCTTTCTTCACAACCCAAACAAATCATCCAGAGAAAACCCTTCGAACCATCACACCAACAGCTACTTCAAAAAAAATTGAGTTTAAGCTGTTGGTCATTAGAGGAATAGTCTAATGAGTGGGTGGCGGCTTGGCAACAACTATTGAAGACAGCCGGATCCTTCTTGTACAAATAGTTCCTGAGCATCGTAATGGCCTTGCAGCAAACGGGGCCGCTGTTTAAATGAATCCAGTCAGCGTTCTAATTGAAATTGCAGAACTCGTGATGTTGATATCAACGTGGCAGATGTGGCAGTGGGAAATCCACTTTTTTGGCTGTGCTATCCAGATATGTTCAACTGCTTGGATTAGACGAGAGGGTTGAAACTGACCGTTCAGTTCCGTTGAACAAACTTTGGTCCGACAGGTCCGTGACGTTCCGAAGCCAACGTTTTACCAGTCAGCGTTCTTCCACCAGTGAACAGTGAACAGGACAGGTCTGAATGTACATGTATTTACCCTCTGGTAAACTAACGGTTCACTATGGAAAATCAGCATGCTATTAATGGGTACATCCACTATTTCTATGGCAATTTTCAATAGCAAACTGTTAAATGATATTTTGAAAAATTGCAAGGTGAACACGTACCCCAAAGTCCCATGGATTGTCGTCCCCGTCGAAATGTTTAACTTTGGGATATCCACTATTTTCAGACAGACCCAAAAAAAAAATGTCATATATAATACATACACACACCGTTCTATATTCCCATTTTGTTACCATTATATCTCCATTTGTTGATATCAAGTTGGTTAGATATCCCATCATTGTCCCATAAAATCACCATGATATCCCCATATTTCCTGGCCAAATCAACCCCAGGTCGGACCTTCCGCATGGCCAAAGAGTGGAAAGCCTCCTCATCCTGCACAGGTTGCAGAGGGCACCTGGATTTTTGGGAATGTTTGGAATGCCATTCAGCCCAGACTGCATGGTTCCAAAACATATATGTATACATATGTATACATTATGTGTATGTGTGTATGTATGTATGTATGTATGTATGTATGTATGTATGTCTGTCTGTCTGTCTGCCTGCCTGCCTGCCTGCCTGCCTGCCTGCCTGCCTGCATGTACGTACGTATATATATATATTCAAATAGCATATATATATATATATCAAATTATGTATGATAAGTTTAAATATATAAATATGCATTCTATTATGATATATTATGTATATATTCTGTCAACATTGTTGTATCTGTAATCTATATAAGCAGAATCTGCATATGAATCTTAGTTATAAACACAAGTATACATGTATGTTGTACGTGCATCAGCCCGTGTCAAAGAGGGAAACAAGCGCATTGACAAAAAAAATACTGCTGTATTTAGCGTGCGAACATCAACTGGCAATAATGTGGTTAAGCCAATACTAACCAACCAACTGCACTTGAGGACAAAATTCTTGGGTTTACCACATTACTAGGCGAGAAAAAGAAATCACCATATGGGTTTGTCTGAAAATAGGGTATATTCCCAATTATAGCCATTTAATAGGGATAATGATCATTAACCATTGGGTTTAGGGGTACACTATTTTCAGACAAACCCATATTTCAACTCCTCCCCAAATATTCCAAAGTGGGGAGATGTTCCGCACATTAAGAGCAGTCTCGCACAGACTGGGCCCCTCCACGAAACGGCCAGTCCCCGTTTATCTCCACCCCAGTTCCTCCCAGTCTCGACTCGACATGGGCGGCACAGCAACAGCAAACGACCATTGCTGGAGGCGCCACAGCCTGTGAAGATTGGGTGTGTCACACTTTCGTTCATTGAAACTCTATGGTGTGAAATTCTTGTCTCCCATGCTGGCATAAACTAGCAAACAGGTGAGCTGATCATATTTGATCCATTTTTGGGGGACTTTATTTCAAACGTCCGATCACACCTGTGAAGGGTGACTGGGCCCCTTTCCACTCAAACAAAAGGTTTGCATCAGTGGGGTAGTGTGGTCTGGGAGAAAACATGGGTATCCAACAATGTGCATGTAACAAACATTGGACAGCTCACCGGCTTTGAGTCGCAGACAACACCCCACTTGCAACATGTAGAATGCTTGGCACTCCACGAAACCCATCTTGATGACAATTGATGACAATTGGACATATTTAACGCATTGTGTGGTTTGGAGGGCAATTGGGGGCATACTCCAGTTTCAAACAGATTTCACAATACAAGTGCTCACTCATGATGAAACTAATGTTGCAAAGCAAATGTGGGATAACTATGATTTTGTGACATTTCCTGAACCAGATTTAAGGCACTTTGGGTAAGATTTCTCCTACTAACTATCATCAATGATAAGGTCACATGAATGTTTTGTGAAGCCACCGACAAGGACAATCTGACATGTAGCTTGACAATCCATTCTGGTGAAACCATCGCAAACACATAAAGAGAAACACTTTCACAACCTTTCTTCAAGTACCAGCCAGTTTCGGACAAACAAAAACTATTCCCCTTTCCGAATGCTTCAACCAGTTGAATTATTTTAACTGTTCTTGGCTACGGCGCTACGGTAGCCACAACAATTCATGGCAACACATGGGCAACCAGCTCGACCCCCATGCAGTCACCGCGCTTTTCTTTGGCTCACACCGACTCTCGGTGTTTTAAGAGGCTTCCTGCATGTCGACAAAGTTCCTGACAAATGTCCTGTAGAAACACCATGAAAGATCCCTGAAACTTGAGCTTCAGCCAGCATTACTTAAAGCACCAGAAAGTGATGATAGCAAACTGGTGAGATATGGATGTATCTTTTTTTTTCAGGATCTACCCGATACTCCCATGGTTTATCAGACTCATTTCCTGAATATTCAGATATGGCTAGTACCGTTGGAGACATCCCCTCTCAAACACAGTTTTTCATCAGATTTTTCAACCGGCCATCTGAGGGATCTGCCGTTGCGCTTGGTTTTATTTGGGATTCCCCAGGACATGAAACGATAAGCGTTCAATACTCAATGTCGCAGTAGTGGTACATGTTGTGATATTCAATACTACCATACGTGTTTTGTTTTCTGATGATGAACTATGCAATTCTTTTGGGGATCACTGGAGATGTTTGTATATATGTATCACTCTAGACATGTACACATCCATATTTAGCTGCAGTTCACACATACACATCATACGCATTCACACTGATTTGCAGAATGGTCCTGGTGACACATGAAAGGTGTGCGCTGAAAAAAAAACACTGTCGGTTGGCATGGACCGATGAAACATGTGCTTGGCAGCAGGAACTTGCACCAATGCACTGCATCTGAGCGTCGTTTTCTGGACGTTTCTTCACGGCTATCACGGCTCGTTTGCGACCCATGACCATTCTGGGCCCAGAATGGTTTATACCTGGGATAACGCAGAGGGATTCAATGCCCTTAGCATCCATTCGCAAAACCTTTGGTCATCATCAGCCAATATTCAACCGTTTTTCAAGGATTATCATCACCATCCATGGGGATATTCAAATACCCTACAAGGTGGCCCCCCCTTCTTGTAAGTTGCTTTACAACTCCAATGAACTATTGATATTACCTACCATACTTCATAGATTTCACCCAGCTATTTGCATCAAGTTGGCAAGGGGGAAGACCTACCTTGATCTATGTTTCAACCCCAAACCTGGGGTTTGAATCTCTATTTGTCTATTCATTTCAGGTAGTGCAACACCAACGATACTCGAGACATTCCCGTTTTTATGGGTCAAGAACCAGAGTTAATAAGCAACCCCATAACTATTGTATCCCTGTTAGTACAATACAACCATGGTTTAACAAACATGAACAAACTACAAAAACAAACTGGGTATGTATCGTTAAATTGGGCTTTTCCAATACAGATGTTTTCCCCGAGGTCTGAAAAATGTTGATCCAACGGTCCAAGTTTTCAAACAAAACGGGTGCCTTAAAGCATCTACCCCGCTGAAAGTCATGATGGAGTTTCTGAGTTCGTCAGTTGGGATGATTATTCCATTCCCAAAAAACAAATAAAATGTTCCAAAGCACTAACCAGAAAATAGAATATCCCATTTACAGATGATTTTCCCAGCGAACTAAACCTCCATTTATGGTTGGGGTTTTCCATGGCTATGTTAGTCTTATCAGCAGATGGTCTGGAGTTTCGATCCACAGAGTTCACCCGCTGACCCTCGGTTTCGGCCTCCCGGTGGCTTTCAGACGTTTGATTCCACCGTTCCTGGAACCCGGTTAGACACGTAGGTTCCATCATGAAACATAGTGGAACAGTCCAGCTCCAAATTGTTGGGATGTAGTGGGAACAAAAAAGTGGGAACTATGATATCAATGTACTGTCGTTTCCATCTGACCTGGAAAATCTTACTATCATTTACTATCCCTGCCATGTCAACTGACATCACGGCTGGGATCAACTGACGCCATGGGCATGGCCACTCCGTGGCAGATCTGCGAGCTGCGCGGCTCCTCCTCCGCCTCCCGGCTGCTCCAACATCCTCGGTGCCATGTCTGGGAAGTCGCCAGGATCAACATCTGAGAAACCACCAGAAACATATATCTAGAATCCTAGAAGCCCTTGGGGTGATCAACAGCTGTGTGAAACCGAGTTTTGGGGTAACGTTTTTGGTGTTTACTGGAAGTTGAATGAAGTTGATCAACAGTTTTCAGGTATCGGTATAAGGTTTTTCGTGCTTGCTGCAAATTGATCAACAGTTAGTCAGGTGCAAAAACAGGAGAGAAGAAATTTGCCATAGTTTACCCACATAAAGTGAAATAAGTAACGAGCAACACGAGGTCTAACATGCTGTGAACAACAAACCTGGAAGGCTGATAAATATGGAACATCGTAAATCCGTAGTGTCCGCAAAGTGGCTACCACACCCGACACTAGTCACTGGCACTGGAACTTTAAGCTACCAACTTGGAGCTCTTCTTTTCCCATCGTCAACATCGCCTTCCAGCACAGGGCCATACTCGGGGTGAAGGATCGACTCTTTCCAGGCTTATAAAGGTGCCCTGCTCCCTAGGTTGGCCGGAAAAAATCAGTCATCACACTTGCTAACCCCTCGGTACTTGGGAGATGATCATGCCACTAGACGTATTGAAAACCAATGTTGAATGCCAAAAGGTGAAAAAAAAAACATTGGAAGATCAAATGTTCCAGAATTGAATCAAGGGAAAATTCACAGGAAACCTCTTTGTGTACCGGGAAAAAGCCTGGTTACTGGCAGATGTTCCCTTTACCCAACCCAAAAATTGCGAATGAACCATGGCACATGTTGGTTTCCGTGATAGCGCCGGGCCATCACCTGCCTCGACCCTCCAGACGTACTCCTGAAAGTTTGAAGCCACAAAAAATGGGTCGATCTGTAGCCATTTTTCCTAAGAAAAATTATGATAATCTAATGGATGTTGGTTGGATTTCAGTTCAAGCACGTGCTTCAATTGGTTGTTTGGATATGTTTGGATTGTCAGATTCTGCAACACGTTGAAAAAATCACGAAACTCTTGCTGGTCATGCATCTATTTTATCCAATCTGAATTTGCTGCCTCTTTCCGGTGGCAGATCGCAAAAGTGAGATTGGCACATGCCTCTTCTGGGCTGTGCTTAGTGGATTCAGTTGTGGCTGTCCCATGCTTTCCACACTTTTCCACTGCCTGCATCTGCCAGGCCCCATCGAATGAGCCGGCCCACTTCACCAATCTGCTGCAGGCTATCCATGGCATTCCATGTGGCAACAAGGCCTGATTTTGGATCAAAAATGAGCACCTGAAGCTTGGCATTGAAATCATCTACATCCTGAATCTTGCCAAGGATGAGTTCCTTGTCCTTGTCCGAGGAGGCACGCATGTCCCGCACATCCAAATTTTCCAATGTCCGGGCGCGTTCTTGCAGCGTTGCTTTGGACCAGAGTTTCAATGACTGGTCCATCTGCAAACGTTTGGCTTCCGCAATCTCAGCCACGCACCAGGCACGGCGAAACAAATCCAGAGGTTTGTCCACTGCAATCACTTGTCGGCATCCCGCAGTCGTGGCAAGAAGACGCATCATGTCATCAAACTTGTTGATCTCTGACGAAGCACTTCGGCCATCCGAGTCAATGATGTTTGTGCTGTTGCACTGGCACACTGGGTGCAGTTGATTTGTGAAAGGATCCCGGTCATACGGGTTGCTGTGGCAGATGCTGATGTGTTGGTTCACAGCAAACGCACAGATCCAATACGTCTCATCCAACCTCCCCATTTTCGCCAGAAGGTCCTGTAGGAAAGCGCAATCCTCCTGCAGAAGTTCTGCTGGCAAGCTGAAACTGCATTCCTGCAGGGCATCCGACAGCACTGCAGCCAGCAGGTCGCTGAACGAGTTGCCCCAATTGTGGGTCACCATGACCTGTGCCCGTTTCGGACCATCCTTGTTGAAAGCTGAAACTGAGAATGCGCATTCTTCTCTGCTAGTCAATGGGATGATCGCTCTTCGGACCACATCTCTGGTCTTGTGCTCCTTGGGCGCATATTTCCAATCTGGCATTGAAGGGAGGTTTTCTTGATAGAACTGCAGGAGGCTCCTCAAAGTCATCCCCCGCATTGAGAGTTCTTCCACCTTTCTAGTCCAGTTCACATCTTCATGTGAAGTCTGTTGGTTTCTCCTATGCTCAGGCTTTTCGACTTTCCAGCTACGTTGGCTCCCCTGACTCCTTGCAACTTTGGCCATCCTGTGACTGCCGGACAGAAGGAGAACGGCCACAGCATCTCCCAGGGCATCAAGAG